TGTCTGCCACAGCCATGATCGTCCGTGAAGCTATCGATACAACAATATGTTGTGAGCTATCATACACAAATGTGTGAGCTATCAAACACAAATGTGTGAGCTATCACACACAAATGTGTGAGCTAACACACAGATATGTGAGCTATCACACACAGATGTGTGAGCTAACACACAGATGTGTGAGCTAACGCACAGATGATAGCTAACACACAGATATGTGAGCTAACACACAGAGATATGAAATAACACACAGATGTGTGAGCTAACACACAGATGTGTGAGCTAACACACAGATGATAGCTAACACACAGATGATAGCTAATTACACACAGACGATAGCTAACACACAGACATGTAAGCTAACACACACACATGTAAGCTAACACACACACAAAACATTACGTAAGAGCGCCGGAGATTCTCTCCCGCCCGCAGATCACGCCGGAGACTGCGATGAAGAAGAGCCACCGCGCCGCGGAGGAGGAGGAGGTCGAGGAGAACGGGGTCGAGTACGTCGACGTGCCCTACGAGGTCGAGGGGGAGGAGCTCGTAGAGAGGGAGGTGCTGAAGGAGGTCGTCGAGGAGAAGAACGTGCCGCAGGTGAAGGCAACGTTCCCCTACACGGGTCACGGCATGCAGGTGCAAGGGAGAGGTACGTGCACGACGACGGCGAAATTATAACGTGTAACAAGGCCTCCGATTGGGTAAAAGGTTATTATAATGTATAACAAGGCCTCTGATTGGGTAAAGGGCTATTATAATGTGTAACAAGGCCTCCGATTGGGTAAAGGGCTATTATAATGTGTAAACAAGGCCTTTGATTGGGTAAAAGGGCTATAATTTTACCGCAGTTAAATTATGGCCCGTTTAACCCAATCGGGGCCTTGTTACACATAATTTAACCGCGGAGAAATTATTTTTACTGCAGTTAAATTATGTGTAATAAGGCCTCTGATTGGGTAAAAACGGCCATAATTTAACCTCGGTTGAATTATTTCTACTGCGGTAAAAAATTATTATTTCTGAATACGAAGGCCAACCATAGGCGACGCTCCCCTCGCATTAAGCTGGGTTTACACTACCGACTTTATGTTGGCGAATTGGCGAGTTGGACCAATTTTGCAATTCGGCAACTCCAAGTTGGCGAAAATAGAACATGTTCTTATCTCCAAACTAGTTGCTATCGATCGGTTGGTCGCGCAACTTTGGCGTTTACACTGCCCGATTATCGGTTGAATAGTTCCGAAGTTGGTCCAATCGCCAACATAAAGTCGGTAGTGTAAACCCAGCTTTAGACATAGGTGGCTATCGTTCGTTACACCGATGCGCCGGTAACTCGTCCGCCCCGCAGGTTCTGATGCTGCTGCGCAAGACGAACCAGGACTGGTGGAACGTGCGGCGCGAGAACGGACAGGAGGGCTACGTGCCGGCAAACTACTGCAACGAGGTGGCGCCGCGTAAGCTTCAGCGCGTCGTCAAGCGGCCCGTGAAGGTTCAGGAGAAGGTCAAGGTGAAGAAGACTGCGTACAAGACGGAGGCGCGCCCTGCTGGCAAGAAGCTGCGACGGACGCCATCAGGTGAGCGATTGTTGGCGATTTGATGCCGGGAGTTGGATTAGGTTGTTTAGCGTTGACCGTGTAGCTGGTTGTACTGGTCCCTAGCATTAGCTTGGCTTATATAAGCCTTGGCTAATATGGTATTATCTTTTCTGTGTGTAGCGTGGGGCATGTGGCTGGTTGTCCTGGTCCCTTAAGCATCATCTTAACCTATAAGCCTTGGCTAATATGGTATTATCTTTACTGTGTAGTAGCATGGAACATGGCTGGTTGTCCTGGTCCCTTAAGCATCAGTTTGGCCTATAAGCCTTGGTTAATATGGTATTATCTTTACTGTGTCGTAGCATGGGACATGGCTGGTTGTCCTGATGTCTTAAGTGGTCAATGAAATTAAAGTCGCAGCTAATATGGTATTATCTTTAATCTCACATGATTGATTGATTAACGTAATCGATGATAATCATAAGTTAGATTGCGTCGTAGACCATCTCTGAGGGACGCAGATCCACTGCGCTAAATCGTATAGATTCGATGAACTTGTGATTCAATACCACAAAGCTATTTGAGCTTCACTTATGTACAATGATAATCGTATAAAAAATGCTAAGTCATTCATGATCACTGTTCTCTGATTATCTTTAGACAGATGGTGCCATGATTTACTTCCATCTCTTTTTCACTGCAGTTCGAAGTGTTAATAATCTCCACTTTGACAAGGAAAACGTTGAGAAAAAGCAAAAACACGCCAACGATACCTACAAGAAACTCTGCAAACTCGCTCAGGTAGGTTGTAGGGACTGCTCTGCCAATACTAATACATACTGGCTGGTGTAGTTTTTGATATATGAGTACATTAACAATAATATGCAATAATATCTATATTATTAATTATAATTATTAATAATAATTAATGCTTAATAGTAATCAAGCAAGTCATGGACTCATTTTTAATGGTATGATTGTGATTGTTCTACATTTTTAGGCGAGGCATATGTGTCTAGAAGATGCGATGAAGCTGTACAGATTCTACAGAGAATGCGACGACTTTGATTGGTGGATGGCGGACAAGGAGAAGGCTTTCTCCAACGACGACCCCACTGAAAATATCGAGACGAGGAAAAGAAGATACGAGGTATGGACACCTGTGTCTAGAGGTTGTGCAACTGCTAAATGGTCTCTCTGTGTGAACTTGATCAAATGTAAAGGTTTTGGCATGATCGCCATTTTCTGACTTACAGGGTACTCACCTAGTTTTGTCATAATGTTCACCCACTGTGTCTAGGACAGCGGTTCTTAACCTGGGGGTCGTTTGGGGGTTTTCCAGGGGTCATCAAGGGGTCATGAATGAAACAAATCTATTTAAATTTTATATAATTATCAGGGTGCTACAAATTTTTTTTTCCTCTTGCCCGACTGATAAATTAACACCCTCGGTCTGTAGCCCTTGGCTGGAAAGTGGTTTTGCGCAACTTATCAGATCGTGCGCTTTGAGTGGCGCCACCGTCGGTGTAATCAAACTAGTCGTTAGTTTTAAAACATTAAAAAAAAATATTTGTAATGGTGATTGAACCATGAAACTTTTTATGTAGCGTAATTATAACCTAAATTAGCTGAAAATAACTTTACAACCTAGAGTAAACTCTCCCTTTAATTAACAACCCAACTCATCGTATGCATGCGCTGCTTACAGTCTGTGCAGTAAGAGCGGCAGCCGGAGGGAGGGACTGGACGAGTCGCTCAAGTTCTTCCGCTTCATGGAGGATGCTGAGCAAGAGGAGAGCTGGCTGACGGAGAAGCAGCGAGTCGCGCGGTCTCCGGACGTCGGCAACGACCTCAAGGACGTGCTGCGCCACCAGCAGCAGCACGAGGTGCGTGCGCGTGCGCGTGCGCGTGCGAGCGAGCATCTCCGCTCCCCGTCGACCGCGACGATTCGTCCCCGTTTTCCATCTACTTTTAATAATGATAATTCCGATTTACTAAAAAGTAGTGATTAATATTAAGTTGAACCTACGCTTCCTCAATTTGAAACCACATTTCTGTATCTGACATGAGACACCCCCTTGTGCCACCCTCGTGCGTACAAGTGCGTACATGTGTTTGCGTGTGTGCGGACATGCCCTGGAGGTTGAGATGTGGGATACGTAATGCAGGATGATATTTTAATCATCTACTTTTGATAATAATAATAATAATTCAAATTAAAAAAAGAAGTTGAGTAAATAAATAAATTAAAAATAATTATAAATAAAGAAATAATAAAGTTGAACTCACGCTACCCAAATTTGAAACCACGCCTTCGTGTCGTGACGTGGTAACTTAACAAACTAACAAACCAACTAAATTAATAACTTGACAAACGTCTTCGTATCTAACGTGAGACACCCCCTCGTGTCACCCACGTGTGTACATGTGTTTGCATGTGTGTACAGGCCCTCGAGGCGGAGATGCAGGTGCGTGCTCCCATCTCGAACGCGGTGTGCATCGCGGGAGACGAGCTGGTCAAGGACGGCCATCCACGCAGCGAGGACATTGAGGCACGCATCAACGCCCTGCAGAAGCAGTGGGACCGCCTCAAGAACCTGGTCGCCGCGAAGCGAGCCAGACTCGAGGACGCAGCCGAATCGGCACAGGTACGCCGTGACGATGTCGAAATACGCGGCAGATACTCGAAAACAGTACTTAAAATTGTTACCCTATGCAAAAAATGTGTACGTGTATACATGTGTACAAAAAAATGTTCACTTCCTTAAGATGTCGAAATACGCGGCAGATACTCGAAAACAGTACTTAAAATTGTTACCCTATGCAAAAAATGTGTACGTGTATACATGTGTACAAAAAAATGTTCACTTCCTTAAGATGTGTGCTAGCTGATTAGCTTACCCTCTTTAAAATCGGTGTCATCCATAAATGGTTGTCATTCTTGCAATCGTCCATTCGTCCATGGGTGTTCGCTTCCAAAGACTTGGTAGTCTTATTGATCACCATAATTTCTGCAGTGCAAGTGGGATTGTAGTATGTAAGTACACGAAAGTCACACCGTTTGTAACCTAAAACACTAGTAACTATGATGATGACGCTGATGCACCTATTCGGCTGATCGCTGTCCCGCCGTCCTCAGAAACTCACACGCTGTCTGAAACCTGCAACCAGTTCATGCAACTAATAACTTCACGACTGAGACAATCCTCATTTCTCATGGTTCGGGCATCAGTTCTTGAAAAGTCCTTGAATTTGAGGGGAGGTCTCTTGAAAAGTACTTGATTTAGTAATAAGTTTGATTTGTGCTTGAAAAGCTCCTTGAATTTCATGAAAATGCTCCGTTGGCATTTTTTGAAAGAGTCCTTGCACTGTAATAAAAAGAAATTTGGTGCCGCCATCAATATATGTGGCAAACCTCCATATAAAAATGTGTTTTTTCAATTGTTTTTTTTTTTTTTTGGCTGTTTGACACGACGTAATATACAAATTTTACCGTATTGTGGGCGCGGCGAGCGAACTACGCACGCCCCGCTCGCGTTCATTTTACATACGGCCGATAAAATGTCCTTGAAAAGTCCTTGAAAATCTTTAAAAAATTTTCAAGTCCTTGTACGAACGAATGTTCTGCTTCGAATCATTCTTCGCAAGTCTACAACGACGGGAGGAACGCAGAGCTGTGGATGGCGCTGAGCGCATTGCCTCTGCCGGCCCAGCGATGACTTCGGTAAGGACGAGGAGGGAGCGCAGGCGCTGCTGCTGCGCCACCGCCGCCTGGAGGGCGAGATCAAGTCTTACGACGACGACATGCAGCGACTGAACAACCTCGCAACGCTCATGACGAAGGACTCCAAGTCGCACAACGTGAGTGGTGACGCGCCGTGAGTGGCGCGAGAATGTTGCCGAGCGTGTGACGCGAATGTTGCCGAGCGCGGACGCGAATAGTTGCAAGAGCGTGTGAACGCGATAAGTGTTGCGCGAGCGTGTGACGCGAATTTTGGCCGAGCGTGGTGACGCCGACGAATGTTGCGGTAAGCGTAGTCGACGCGAATGTTGCTGAGCGGGTGTGTTGCCGACATGTTGCCGAGCGTGTGACGCGAATGTTGCCGAGCGTGTGACGCGAATGTTGCCGAGCGTGTGACGCGAATGTTGCGCCGGAGCGTGTGACGGCGAAAAGTTGCGCGCGGCGGTGACGCGAAATGTTGCCGAGCGGTGTGACGCTGAATGTTTTGGGCGAACATGGACTGTGATGTGCACAGATGTTGCTATCATATCACAAATGTGTGAGCTATCAACCACAATGTGTGAGCTATCACAACACAAAAATGTGTGAGCTATGACACAACAAATGTGTGAGCACTAACACCAGATATGTGAGCCTATACGCCACCACAGATGTGTGAAGCTAAACACACAGATGGTCGTGAGCTAAAAGCGCACGATGATAGCTAACAACAACAGACATATGTGACTAACAACGACAGAGATAAGTGAAATACACACACAGATGTGTGCAGCGCTAACACACAGATGTTGTGTAGCATTAACACACAGATGATAGGATAACACACAGATGATAGCTATTAGCACACAGACGATAGGCTAACACCACAGGACCATGTAAGCTAACACACTACACATGTAAGCATAACACCACACACAAAACCAGTTACGTAACGAGCGCGCGACGATTCTCTCCGCCCAAAGATCCACAGGCCGAGACTGGGCGATGAAGAAGAGCCACACGCGCCAGCGGAGGGAGCGAGCGAGGTCAGAGGAGAACGGGGTCAGAGTACAGATCGACAGTGGCCCTACGAGGTCGATGGGGGAGGAGCTCGTGAGAGGCGAGGTGCTGAGGAGCGTTCGTCGAGGAGAAAGAACGTGCCGCCACAGGTGAAGGCAACGTTCCCTACGAACACGGGTCACGGCAATGCCAGGTGCTCAGGGAGAGGTACGTGCCACGACACAGCGCGAAATTATAACGTGTAACGCAAGGCCTGCCGATTGGGTAAAAGGGATTATTATAATGTATAACAAGGCCGTCTGAATTGGGTAAAGAGATTATAATGTGTAACAAGGGCTCCCGAGTTGGGTAAGAGGGCTATTAATAAATGTGCGACTAACAAGGCCTTTCGACTTGGGTAAGAAGGGACTATTAATTTTACCGCAGTTAAATTATGGCCGGCGTTTCACCCATCCATCGGGGCCTTGTTTACACATCTGAATTTAACCGCTGAGAAATTATTTTTAGCTGGCAGTTAAATTATGTGTAATAAGGCTCTGATTGGGTAAAACGGCCATAATTATAACCTCCGGTTGAATTATTTTCTAGCTGCGGTAAAAAAATTATTATTTCTGAATACGAAGGCCAACGCATAGGCGACCGCTCCCAGCCGTTAACTGGGTTGTACAAAGCTACCGACTTTAACTGTTGGCGAATTGGCGAGTTGGACCATTTGCATTCGGCACTCCAAGTTGCGAATAAATAGAACATGTTCTTATCCTCCAAACTAGTTGCCTTATCGATACGGTTGTCCGCGCAACTTTTGGCGTTTACACGCCGATTCATCGGTTGAATAGTTCCCGAATGAATTGGTCCAAGATTCGCCGGCAACACTAACAGTCGGTAGTGTAAAACGCCAGCTTTAGACATGGTGGCTATCGTTCGTATACACCGATGCGCCGCGTAACTCCGTCGTCCGCCCCGCAGGTTGCTGATGCTGCTGCGCACAGAACCGAACCAGGACTTGGTGGAACGTGCGGCGGCGGAGAACCGCGACAGGAGGCCTCACGTGCCGGCAAACTACGTGCAACGCCAGGTGGCGGCCGCGCTAAGTTGCTTCACGCGTCGTCAAAGCGGCCGCGTGAAGGTTCTCAGGAGAAAGTCAGGGTGAAGAAGACTGCGTACGAAACGGAGCGCGCCGCCTGGCTGGCAAGGAAGCTGCGCGAAAGCGCGCATCGGCGTGAGGCGACTTGTTGGCGCGATTTGATGCCGGGGAGTGTGGAATTAAGGTGTGTTAGCCGTTGACCGTGTAGGCTGGTTGGTGCTGCCGCATAGCCTTAAAGCATTGGCTTATACTAAGCCTATAATTAGTTCTTTCGTTGGGGCATGTGTGTCGTCCTTAACATATCAACAAGAGATTTATATGATAT